AATGTCCACTACAATGGACATAAATGAATAGGTCGGGTCTCAGGAGGATAAGCGGGATGAACTGCTTCGATGTGTGCGGTTATCCGAAAATAATCAAGAACAACTTGGTTAGGATTGCACTACATTACACCAGGGTTCAATTGATTATATTCATATATCTGCACACTTTGTCATGGATTATCTCATGTATTTCACAAAAGGGTGATCATTGGTTAACATGCAATATCTACATCTGCAATACTATTTCTTTGAACTTTTATTTTTATTCTTTAAGGAGAATTGCATCAGTTTGGTGGGTTATGTCAGCTCGTACTACTTGCGCAACAAGGTAGGGAAAATCTCACATCACTAAGTGAACTGGATTTGTCAGTGTACATGAAGGATGTTTTGGAAGGCCAGGCCATAGGCTCATTCTCATTTTGCTCTGCATTTATAGACTGATGGTGGAGACAGCAATGACTTCCCACTTCCAGAACCCAATGACCTCTTCCTGGCTGCTCAAGTCAGGTTCAGCGACCTTTTCTCAGACCTCCGGTTTCTGAAAAGCAAACTGGCTGGTATGGTTATCCTGTTACCCAAGTGTAACTTTTGATATTCAGCTGTCATCACTGCTGATAGAGAGAATCGATAACTCCTAATAGCTTTAGTCCAGGCCACGATCACAGGATGACACACTGGGACAATCATCTCAGGTCTGCTTCCGGCACATTGTCCTACCTCATGTTACGAAAAGCCTCCTGACTTAATCCTGGTTCTGCTGGCAGAAGGCTACACTTAGCAGCGGGTTCAAAATTTCTAAGACAGCAGTATAAGAACAAAGTGAAGCAGGAGAGACTGGTAATGACCAGAAACCAGCCAGATAGAGGGCAGAAGCGACTTTCTATTGTCAGAGATGACCATGAAGTTATCCAACAGTTTCTGATGAGCTAGAAGATGACATCAAGTGACCTTCAAAAGGAATAGGAGACATTAAGTGCAAGTGTGAAGTGCACTGCTAGGATAGTGTGTATCAGGTTCCTAGAAGTAGGACTGAAGTCCTATAAAGCAAGGAAGAAGCCCTTCAGTAACAAAAAAATAATTCTTTAGTTTCTGAAAGAACATATTACATTATGATGCTTCATTTTGGAAGTATTTTTCATTTTTTTATCTTGATTGCTATGGGTCTTGGAATGAAAAAAAAATACATGGTACTAAAGTTGAAACATTTTTATCTTTTAAAATAGAACTCTGATACTATGTTGTGATCTGATGCATTACTTGCATTGTATGAGCTATGAGGTTTCATGTGTCTAAATGTTTCAAATGTTTTAGATATTTCTAGCTCACGTTAACTTTAGCATGTTTTGCACATTTTTTTCTCAGCTTGTGAAAAAGATGTTCAGAAAGTGTGCAGAAATACATTGGTGGAACACCTCCAACCATTTAAGGACAAAATGGAGGCTTTTGTATTGAAAGGTAAGTAATCATCCAACCATCTGTCCATCCATCTATCCATCCATTAATCCAGCCATGCATACATCCACCCCTCCATTTTCTGTACCCGCTTGTCCTATTCAATGTCATGGGGGTCCGGAGCCTCTGTAAGTAATCATCTCACTTTTATTTCAAATTATAGGCAAGATTGCAATGGTGAGAAATTTAAAACATTAAGTGATCTACAACCAGGATCCTCTATGAGAGGTTGTAGAGAGAAAATAAACTCTCACTAAGGATGTGCTCACACCTGACCTGGTTGCCTTGTACCGTGACTGAACACGACTGCCCCCCACTCCGCCGCTGGTCTGTGCTCACGTTACGCTTAACAACCCTGGCCCAAGCTCACTCTTGTCATCACCCTGTGACTTTTTTTTTATTACAGAAAATACAGAAAGAGAAGTGCTATTGCAAAGTAGAATGGGATTCATGATTAATGTCCTTATTTTGTGGTTTATTTGGAGTCATTTTGGGTGCTGATACACAGCCCTGATAGATTTATCGAGTATGCAACGCCGCAGTTTTAATTTAATCCTGCTCCCTGTATCGTACCAGATGATTCAGAATTTTTCTGTGTTGCGTTCAATTGTTTTTAGGATACTCCCCTCAGCCCAAAATTCCAGGAAACACTACACCTCTGCCATAGATCAGAGTGATCCCTAGCTTGCAATATTTATTAAATATTTGGCACTGCCCGATCTGTACAGCCTACCTGCTCAGTTCCTTCAAGGTTCAGTTCATGTATAGTGTACATGCAGGCCTGTTTGTGGCAGTTGCATCATTGATGTAATGTCTGTGTTCCATACCTGGGCACGGTTGGTGATCACACTACATGAGTACCAAGTCCAACTAACTGTGTTGTGGCCCACCTCATCAAGCGGGCCAGGGACCACACCTAGGTATGGTATGGCACGATCACACTGGTCAAACGAACTGGACTTTGGGGTCAAACATGCTCAGGCATGGTACAGAGCAATCACACTAGTCAAACGAACTGGACTTTGGGGTCAAACATGCTCAGGCATGGTACAGAGTTATCGCACTAGTGATCGAACTGAACTTTGATTAAGTGACAGAGGCCATAATGTGATAAAGTCATAATATAACATCTGCACTATTTGACCAAACATATGTGGTTATCAGATTATATCATTACTTGTGGGATTTGCTCGCAATCATGTAGGTTATTGATACTGGATTATCAGGTCCCTTTCTGTGGGGTACCACTTTTCAGCTGAACTTCCCTTTACAATCACTTCACTTGTGTTTGACCAGGACAGCTCTAGCAGGGCAGAAATGTAGTGAACAGACATTCGAAAGGTGACATCCTATTATGTTACCAAGTACAAAGTCACTAACCTCTCCTGTACAAATCCACGCATTCTGTTGATAATGCTTGTTGTATAACTCCGTGTTTCATCATATACCTATGTCAGCAATGGGTGTGGCTTAATTCCCTCTAAGAGGGAAGTCCACATACTTTTGGCCATATTGTGCGACATTCCTACATTCCACCCATTTAATTATATATGGTTTAGTAACTTTTTAAAGCATAATATATTCTGTTGAAAACATTTATGTCAATTCTCATAACCAGCGGAGTGGTGGCTCTGAGGCTAGGGATCTGTGCCAGCAAGGTCGCTGGTTCAAATCCCATGAATGCCCGGAATGAATACTGCTCCATTGGGCCCTTGAGCAAAGGCCCTTAACCTGCAATTGCTTCTTCCTGGGTATGACGTTAATCTACTTCCAGCCCTGCTAGCCGGTCCTTCTACTTACAGGGGAAAACTTGGGGCTTGGTGGCAGGATTCACACTCCAGCCACTGTAAAAAACTCACACTAGTCCACTTGGATTAGTGTGGTGCTGAGGTATCACCCGCCACTTGGCTGCATTCAGGTTCTCATCCCTGAGGTGATTTGTTGTGTGATGGGCAACGCACTATAATCAGTGCTTACTCCTTACTTTCTTGTACAGTAAGCAAAATAGTCTGGTAGTTGTGCATAAACAAAAAAGAGAGGAAGAATGTAGAATACAAAATATTATGGACCCATTCTTCTACACATTAACTTAGGTATCTAAAAGAAATTAAGTGAATTTTCTTTCTTTTTTTTCTTTGTTTTCAGCAAACATGGAACTTAATGAATTAAACAACTGTCTGACATCAGCACAGCAAAGGTTTGAAAACATATTTTCTCAGTTCATAGATTCATCTGTTTCAGAAAAAGTGTGAAATATGTCATACCGTTTCTTGGAATCAGCTAAGAATTTGTTGTAAATGCTTGCTAAGAATCAAAGGGACAAGACATTGTTAGCAATGGTCTTAACTAGAATTAATAAATGTTATAACAATATCAGACACAAAACCATTACCAAAAAGCTCAGATATTGATAGGGAGAGCAAATTAGTAGCAATAGTTTAATTAATTACAATACAGAAAAGCTTCTACCACCCCACCCCACACAAACCCCCAAATTATTATTGGTCCATAAACATCCATAAAAACGGGCCTAAAAAAGTATCCAAAATAAACAAGATCAGAGTCACCCAAGCCGTTTGCCAGGAATGTTCCCACCCTCTGGCCACAAAACTCCTCTAAAAAGGTAGATATTCCTCTTACAAAAAGGACATGCAGTGGCTCGGTTCGCAGTCAGGTATCCTCCAGCCTTTGTTCGAGTTTTTCCTCCAAGCTTCACCTTCTCTTTTCATGCCAGGTGACTTCTTTCCTTCTTTTACACATACCCACATTTCAACTGAAATGTCCCCCTCTCTTCCTGCTATCATAACAACCACAGAAGAAACAGGTGCCTCCCCCCCCCTTCTTATTACTGTCCTCATGTTATATGGTTATATGTCAGTTAAACACACACACACAGACACACATACAGATGATGGGTAAACATATCTTTATGGGGACCGCTCATTCATTTCTATGGGAAAAATGCTAACGCTAACTATGACAACCTTAATCCCTACCCAGCCCTAACCATAACCATAAGTAACCAACAAAATACGAGTTTTTGCATTTTTTAGTTCTTCATTGTAGTTAGAGATTTTTATTAAATTGAATTTTCCCTCATAAGGGAAAAAAACGTACCTGTAAGGCATACCCGTGCACACACACACACAGAGTTAAATATCTTATCTGTGTGACATGACACAGTATATTTGCCAGTTTTCCCCCAATGTAGGGCAGTGTGACTGAGTGTAGGACAGGCAGCACATCAACTCAGTGGTTAGCTCTGTTTCCTCTGGGCACTCTGGTTTGTCCCCGCAGTACTGTTATATGGTTAGCTAACTAGTTCCAAAGTGCCTCTTGTGTGTGTATAAATGCTTTGTGATGGACTAGCATCCTCTTCAGAGTGCACTCCATCCTTGTGCCCTATACTCCCTGGGATAGACTCCAGGCTCCCCCTAGTGGCACTATCCAGGATAAGCGGATTGAAAATGTTTCTGTTTCATTGGTGGCTGTACTGTAGGAAGCCTGCTCACAGGTTGTTGAATTCACCTTAGCTTTCAGGAAATGGTGAGCTACTTTGACCTGAAGTCCACCTTGGGGGAGAAGGAGGTGACACCCAACTTTATCTTCATGCTGTGGTTTGAGTTCAGCAATGACGTCAAGAGAGCATGGGAACAGGAGAAAAAGCAGTTATGCTTGGAGAAGTGAGCCTATAGCTTCCACTGTTGTTGTTATATTATTATTATTATTATTATTATTATTATTATTATTATGTTGTTGTTATATTCCATAATTATGTTCTGCAAATAATAAAAGAATTAATTAGTGTTTGTGGTTAATACAGTGAGGGAAATAATTATTTGACGCCCTGCTGAATTCTTAAATTGACCCATTAATAAAGAAATGAAAAGTCTATAACTTCACTGGTAGGTTTATTTTAACAGCAAAAGATAGGTAGAACAGATAGGTAGGGATGGTGTTCCTGGGGTTACAGTCAGCATTCTTTTCCCTCCAAACACAACGAGGAGAGATGATGCCAAACAGCTTGATTTTGGTCTCATCTGACCACATCACATTCTTCCAATCGTCATTGGAATTATTCCAGTGTTCACTGGCATACTTCAGATGGGTCTGAACATGGGCCCTCATGAACAGGTGTACTTTGTGAGCACTGCAGGATTTCAAACTATAATTGCATAATGTGTTACCAATGTTTTTTTTGGCAACATGAGGTCCCTGCTGCTTTGAGATCATTAACGAGCTCCTCCCATGTGGTTCTGGGGTTAGCACTCACTGTTCTTAAGATGCCGCAAATCTTCCTTGGGGCCCAAGATCCAGGGTGATTGACAGTTATTCTGTCTTTCTTCCATTTGCAAATAATTCCACCAACAGTTGTCACTTTCTCACTAATCTGCTTGCTGATGGTCATGTAGCCCATTCCACCTTTGTCAAGGTCAACAATCTTGTTTCTGACATCCTCTCTGGTGTATCTCATGGTGATAAGATTGAAGATCTAGAAAGGTTAGTGACCAAAGAATACTCTTTAAAAAAAGTAATGCCATTAAATGTGAATGCTGGCTTGGTATCTGTTAATACTTAAGTACTACTAGTGTTGTGTTAATTTCTTGCTGGCTTGTAGGGGATCAAATACTTATTTTCCTAGATAAATGCAAATTGATTTGTACCTGTTACATAATGATTTTTTCTTGTTTGTTTTGTTGAAAATCTATCTTTTGATGTTAAACATCCCATCGAAATTAATTCTAATTTCTTTATAAATCGGTGAACTTGAATTCAATGAGGCGTCAAATAATTATTTCCCTCACTGTACCTAAGCTGTTGTAACTGGCAGGTTACAGAGAAACTTCATGTTACCCTACTTAGCATGAGAGCTGTATGTTTTTTGTTTTTATGTTTTTGAGCCATGAAATATCCTGAACCATCACTTGAGGGACAAGGTGTTTGATGTATTTCATTAATCTGATTGGCTTGTCTTTTCAAGGTTTAAGGAGGTGCAGCTGTCTGTCACAAAGATCATAGCTGAGAAGAAGGTGGAAACCAGGGAGGTCGCCCCCAGTGGTTTGGTGAGACACTCTCAGTTTAGAGCTTACATCCCTGATATGCACACAATTGAAAACACACAATACACAACATACACAGACATAAAATGTGTCTCTGGTTCTGTTTTTCCCACCTGTTTCAGCACCTGCTTCTGTCACATGACGTTTATCCATGTTTTTTTATTGACTTTATTGTTATATATCAGACAAGACATCAAATCAAGACATCAAGTTGCATCAAATTTTAAAACTTTAATTTTAACGTATTTGAAGGGGCAATTCTCTCAGTAGCTGCCATGTTGTTTATTTTGTCATCAGACCTGCACACGCACATGCACACACACAAACACACATTTGTATTTATTTTTTTGGTGGGGACCATCCATTAATTTCTATGGGAAAAACCCTAAACTTAACCCCTACCCAGTCCCAACCTTAACCATAAGTAAGTAAACAAAATACAATACTTTTTACAGAACATGTTTAGTGTTTTAATTGCATTCACAGATTTTTATAAAATTGAGTTTCCCCTGAAGGGGACTGAAAAACATGGTCCCCACAACATGAAAATCACAGGTTTTTATCACATTGTGTGGACAATGTAATATATACATGACCACACGCACACAGTTTCAGAAATTATTGAATATACTCTGAAACTGGCAAATCATGCATTGCATTGTCAATATTTTTCTCAACAGAAGGGGAGTGTAGTTATTGTACAAATCACTGGTGCACAACATAACAAAAGTATGACAAAATAAATAGTTTTACTTGTTTAACATGTGTTTTAAACAAGAAGGCTGTTGTGAGAATGTTGCTTACTTATTAGTGGCATATTTTTTTACTTCTGTATAACATTTAGGAATAGAATAATTACAGACTTTTCACCTTTTTCTCCACAGAAAGAAAGACTTCGCCAAAAGGAAGCAAATATGTTCTTGAAATGACAGAACATAGTTGAGGCACACAGAGGAGTGGTCACTCTGCTCCACTAATATCTACAGCATTATTTCAGCTTCCATGGAATTCCACTCTGACAGATATGGTCAGTGATTAACCCTGACCATAACATATGCATCTGTAAGGACACTGAGAAGTCCAACTAGCAGAGGCTGCAAATGCTAGATCCTAGCTTATTATTGTTAAAAACAAAATGAACGACTGTCATGGTGCTGACTTTGTGTTAGGCAGATAGAATATAAATATTTTGGTGCTTGTGACCAACCCTATAGTAATACATGTATAACTTATAATCAGGGTTTAAATATCCAGCTTCACCTCATTACATACAAATCACACTTTGCAGGAGCACAGCACCGCTTCCTTCAATGTTAACCTTTGTATAAGATATTCCTACATGATGCCTTGATTTCTGTCCTGTGTTTTTGATTTGGTTGAATGAATAAGTAACATTACTTATAGTAATATATGGAGAATTTTTGTGACATATCTTTAATTATATGTGTCAATCTATTGTCCAACAAATACATCAATAATTAAGTGTCAATAAATCATTCAATTTATTATTGCTAAACGTATTTCAATTTATATTTCATGATTTATTGACACATTTAAGAAATTATATATTGCAAGATTTATTGAAGAATAAATTGAAAGATAGATTGCAAGATACAGTAGGTTGACAATTTGAAGGAATCCAATATGCAAATTAGATCTGCACTGATTGGTCTGTGAAAGCACAGTAGCAGTGCTTAAACCATGGACCTGCAGTTTGGACCTGTGGAACTGCAGTCTCCTATTTGCGTGTTTTTGTCCAACTCCTACTGCTCATGTAGGAATATGTCATACACTCGAGAAATAAATGTCTGGTCTAAACTGCAAATTAAATTAACTTTAAAGTTGATTATTTTTTGGTGAAAAACTGATCTGTTGTTAAAAAAAAAAAAATTCTAAGTGAACAGTTTTTTTTTATTTTGAATCATCCTGCGCTACCATGCCTACAACGAATGAATCAGCACAAGCCATCTCTTCCACTGTATGAACACGTTCATCTCTGATGCACTTTCCCTTAGAAAAACATTGCTTGGTGTAATGATTCTTCCCTTTGTACTTGTTACATAATTTACCATATGCTGCACATTGTTTAGGGGCATGCTGGGAGCCACATATTTTACATTTAAATATCTCTGTGGATTTTTGCGGCTTGACCTTAGATGTTTTCAATTTCTGCTCCCGCCTGGACAGTCACACTGTGCCCACTGCCATTGTGGCAAACTCACTGAACGTCTTTGCATGCTGTATGGCTGTTTCACTAGCTTGGCATTTCTTTACAGCTCTAGCTAAGGTAATGTCAGCTTCATGTCATAACCTCTCTCTCACCCTTCTGTCACTAATCCCAAACACAATTTGATCACGGATCATTGAGTCCTGAAGCTCACCAAAATTGCGTGTCCTGGTTTTCAATTTCAAGTCTCTTACGAAAGCATCAACATTGTCTGTATTCAACTGCGTGCATGAGCGAAACACATACCGTTCAAATGTTTAATTTTTCTTTGGCGAGCAATGTTCATCAAACTTTTCCACCACTTTATTGAACTTTTCCCTGTTGTCTGCATTGATAAACACAAACGTGTTAAATACCTCCATAGCCTGAGGTCCCGTGACGGTAAGTAGCAGTGCAAGCTTCCGTGCATCAGGTTTGCTATCCAACCCGAGGGCTTGCAGGTATAGCGCGAATCGCTGTTTAAACATATGCCACTTGCAGTCCACATTTCCAGTCCAACTCAGAGGGCCAGGCGGCTTCACACTTTCCATGACTTCTGTAGGTCCTCTCCTGGTACCATGTGATGTTACTATATCAATAAAGCAAACTGAACTTGGTGAACATTACAAAATAATTTATTGTACACCAATATGAAATAAAAAAAATCATGCAGCATGGCGCCCTTTCTTTTATATGTACTTCATTATGTTAACTATAACACACGCACACCATCTAGTGGTTGGGAATAGCAGTTGCACATATCACTATACCCTCTGCTTAAAGAAAACAGGAAAAACAATATACGAGCTGATTTGATTGTAGATAAATTATACATTGATGGTCATCTTTACCGGGACTCTAAAACAACGCCATGGCTTTTCTAATATACTTGAGTTTTTGCTATAAATCTCCGTAAACTCCTGCCTTACAAATAATGTTAAAACTCCTCACTTGTATTTCTTTATCATCATCACTCTGTATGGATTCTACAAAAAAGAAGTATGATGTCACAAGTGCCCTCACATTTCATCTTTGTGTTTTCCCTCCCCAGCTTCCCCCACCCCCAAACGTTGATCACAGATGTAAAATATTCATATATTTAGATTCAAGCAATAACAATATGGCTACACAACATATTAAATTAGTCACATAGAATGTATGTGGTATTCGCACAAAAGTAAAAGCATAAAAGTTGTTAGTTACTTCAAAAAGTTAGACGCTGACATATGCTTTTTACAAGAAACCCACCTAACAAATTCTGATCTACAGCACATACATTTTCAACAATTTAACCAAACTTTCTCAGCAACCAGGGGCGTCGTAGTTGGGTGAAAAGTGGGACTAAATTACCAGGGCCCCAAGTGGGGGGAGGGCCCCTGAGGAGTGAAATTTTATTTTCCTTTAAATATAATTTTAAGATCACAATAAATGTTGTTAACTAATGTAAATGTTAATATTAAATGGGTAAATGCATCAGTTGATTGATGTATTAAATGGTGTCCAAGTACATAGGCTACAGTGTCTGAGGACAGGCACCCTCTCCTTGCACAAAATGGTTTAGTCCACCTTCACCGGGCTTTTTGACTAGGCACATTTGAAGTAGCGTTCATTCTGCTGAAGCGGCAGACGGCAGTGCATGGAAAATGATGTCAAAGAAAGGTAAATCTGGTTTTCAGAAGAGAAAAGAGAGGCAAGAAAGGGAGAAAAAAAGAAATGAGGGAAAGCAACTGCTTACCAACTTCTTTCCCAAGAAAGGTGAGCCCAAAATGCTAGAGCAAATAGTCTACAAATGAACTCCTGCTGTGGTTACTTAAAGTGCCCCTATTATGCCTTTTCATGCCATATCACTATGCCTTGTCATGTAGCTGTATGTGAACATAAATTACCTAAGTTGCCAACAGTAAACGATAAATGAAGTTTTTGTCTATCAAACAGAAAAGAGTCGACTCACATTCGCCTAAACGAGTCGTCAGCAATTCGAATCTTTTTCTGTTACGGCCACGTCACACACGGAGTAACATATTTGCATAATGTCCGCCCACGTTCTCATAAAACAATATTAGCAACCTTTAAAATGACATAATAGGGGCATTTTAAATACCACTGCGATTATCAGTGCTAATAACACAACAGCATAACACAAAATTAGAAATTACATGATGCCTTGTTTGCACAGCCTACACCATTTCAATAGTATACTAATTCGAAAACTAAATTAATATTTGTTATTGGACTATAATTGTCACGTTTCGAGGGTGAGCGAACGAGCAAACAGGCGAGTCCACTCAGGCATACGGGGAAACGGGGTTTAATGGAGGTCGACAGAGGCAGACAGGAACAAGACTTGACAATACAATGACTCATCTGGGGAAGACTGACTCTGACCAGGACTATATACAAAAGACAGGGCAGACTAACAAGGCACAGGCGAGAACAATCAGGTAAGAAACACGAGGTAACGAGGTGGGCGTGGCACACAGGAGGATCGAACGGAGCGG